ATCCCAACAGCCTAACAGGAAAAAGGCAACATCACGAAAGAATCGTGCCTCACCACATTGGCTACACCGGAGCGAACGGTCCTTCAGAAGACGACCGAATCAGACCCAATCACAGCATACTGCATTGAAGAACATCACTGACTACACTATCTACATGCATGAACCGTCAGGAACTGACCTAGTTACGACAGATTGAATATCTGATACAAGCAAGCTCCGGATCAAGGAAACAAGCCGGAAGCAAGCTCACAGGAGTGAGCAAACGAAGAAAGAAGCAAGCTCACAGGAGTGAGCGAGCATCAAGACTTTGCGCTGCAGAATCAGCCATCGTACCACCGTACGAAAACCAACACTACAACAGCGCAGTACTAGCTAGTCATCAGGCTGATCCAGACGCAAGAACGCACAAGCTCTCTGAAGTGAGCGAACAACAAGACTTTGAGCTGCGGAAACAGCTATCGTATCTATCGTATGACTGCTAGGTGCAGTGCTGATACGAAAACAAACTACAAGAGAAGACTCAGTGCACGACGCAGTGCAGGAGTGACAGCCAAGCTATCTAGCTAGCTACCACATCGAGTCATCCACAATCTTGAACAAGCTTGCTGTGTGAACCGGAGCTACCAAGGCTACTATACGGAGCAGAGCTGCTACCGGTAGCGGTACAACGAGGACGTCGGTGCAAGCCATCAGGAGCGACAAGAGTGTCGCTGTTGCCACAGAAAGGAATGAGATAACAAGTTCCAACAGGAAGAACCACAGAGGTACTTCCGTGGGAGTGCTCCTATCCTCAACAAGAGAGCGTCGAATCAGTGCCGATAGAGGAGAGGTGCAAACCCTCCACCGGCACGAAACAAGCCAAATTGCCACGCCGATTACACGGCAACGGCAGGTCCTACGGCAGGACTGTCATACAACAAGGTGTCCTTTGAGCAACAGAGGACAAGGCCTGAAGAGTGCAAGCCCTGGTAGCCAACCAGGAACGGAGTTGCATCCATCGGCAACAGGCTGGATCAGCGCGAATTTGCGAATTTCGCAAAATCCACCAGCCAAGAACAAGACCGACCGAAGCGATCGAACGATCGCTACTACTGTCAAGAAGAACAACGACGGCTACTACTACTAGCCAGTCGCTACTGCCACAGTGTCAGCCAAAGTGCCGACAGCACGAAGAACGACAACAAAGAACAGGAACAACGCCGGCTACTATTAGCCGGTCGCTACCACTACTGTTAAAGCCATCGGTCATCAATACCGATAGCGGCAACAGCAGCACCATTGTGGCCGATCGACAACAAGAAGAGTGTCGGAAACGCCATTCCTTTTTGTGAGGAAATCGCTGACTGCCATCAGTTCCACGGAATGACAAAGAACAGCCTGCAGTTCAGCGAACAGCCACTGAACAGGAAAAAGGTATCTTTCCTTCGCGGAAAGTATCTTTCCAGGAGTGTACGGAGCCAGATCAAGATCTCTCGGTACCACGGCAACAAGAGGATTTCCCGTGCGTCGAAGCGAATCATGTCTAGCTGGCTAGCCACTGGCACAGGAGCTTGCATGCTGCTACCGGTAGCAATGAGCTACTGGCACTACTGTACAGTATGTCCTGCACCAGATAGCTAGCTAGCTACCGGTACAGAGCGAAGCGCATCCAGTGCAAGCCACTGGAGCAGTGCAAGCAGAACAAAGCTACAGGAAGCACTCCAGTGCTTCCTCCCAGCATTGAATATTTTCTTTGGAGTTGTTTGAGTTTACTCAACACCTCCTACCCCTTTCATGGAGTGTGTATTGAGTTTACACTCAGCACCTCCTACTACCTTTTATGGAATGTGTATTGTGCAACTAATCCACAGCACTTCCTCCACTGATTACAGGCAAACCTGAGGCAACACCAGCCTCTAGGTAGGCAACAACAGATACCATTACAAGACCATGCCCTTGCTATTTGATCACAGCAAGTGCACAGGAGTGTGAGGGTACCCAAAATCCAAAACCTACAATCCTACAAACAAAATCATCATAACATCCGCCTTTATAGGCAATGCCGCAACAACCAACGGCATCAATGGCTACATCAACAGCCAGCATCAATGGCAACAACAGCCAACAACGGTACCTACCAATTGCCACAACTACACGGCCAACAACGGTATCTACCACTACCAAACCGATTACAATGAATCGACCACACCAAATTCGAATTGCATCTACAATAACGGCAACTGCAACAACAGCAGAATGACAGTGAACGTTGAACCGAGTAGCTAGCTACAAGCAAGCCACTCAAGAGTTCACAAGACAAGGAACCAAGCCACAGGATGGCTGGAGCATTCAGAGTTTGACCCACAAGCGGGAACCTGATAAGACGTGGACGCCCACCATCAAGGTAATTTCTGTTTAAGGGAACTGGGGCTGCTGCCGCTGTGGGAATTGAGGCTGCTGTTGCGACTGGAATACTGGGGCTGCAGCCAATACTTCGGCTTCCAATACTTCGGCTTCCTCTTCGTCTCTCTTCCTCTTGTGCCGCTCATCAGACTCCCGCATTCTCCGTTCTATATCAAGGCTAGAGCCATCGCTATCATCTGAAGCCATGACAACGACAACGACAACGACAACGGTGGGGAGTGCGGTGATATTCGATTCGATTACGGGGAGAGGAAGAACTCAAAAAAAGGGAAATTGTGGTGAAAGAGGAGCCACAAATGGATGCACATGGGATTGCCTGTGGATCCACATGCAAGCAGCTATCAACCCACGAGATTCTATCAACCCACGAGATTCTATCAAAGAACAATCATATGCGATTTTCACGAGTTTTCCTGACGTACGGTGATTGCGTTTTGGCAGAATCTGGTGGGTTGGCGATTTCGTTAGAGTTGGGGATTCGAGGTGATGTTTCTTTCGCGTACCGCGTATGTGTGTCACATGGATAGGAATGAAATCTTGATACGTACGCCTAAAAAAATCGACGAAAATAAATGTGTTTCGCGTATGCACGTACGACCCACATGGATTTTGGTTAGGAACGCACCTGATGGCAGGATGGTACAGTCGTACCATGATACCAAGATACCGGTACCGGTGCTAGTAGCTAGATTATAACCTGGCTAGCGAGCATATGCCATTGAGTACTCAGTACATACTTATTTCGTGTTCCGTGTACCGTACTGTACATGTAGCAGACTAGCTAGCTAGCTCGGATTACATAATATGTCGCCACGAGACTGGCATTATTGTACCATAAGCTGTGCAAATGTTGCTCATGGTGCTTTGTATTGTAAAATATATGGCTGACTCAATCACAGAATCAGTACAGCTACACTGAGTTGCATAATGGTCTTCTACTTAGCAGTAAACAGCTAATGCCTGCAGTGCTCAAGTACTAAGGAGCTAAAGAGTACATGACATCCCCAACTCCCAGACCCCATGCCAGATACATAGATGCCAGTGTGCATACAGCTACTAGTACAGCAGCACAGTTCACACTGCCCACAACCGCTCCAAGCCATCATCCAAGTCTCCAAGCAGAAGCACCATAGCTAGCTAGACTACCTTATCGATACCTTGTGGAAGCATGAAAGATGAAAGACAAGTGGAAGAATACTTCGCTACGTATCATGGCCCCGCCCAGCTCTCCAAAGGCTGTATGGTACGGCACTCGTGGGGCTCTAAGAAGCAAGAGGTTGTGATGACCATCATGTTTACCTGGCTGCTGCAGCCAGTGGCCAGGCTGCGGTCACTGGCAAGATAGCAAGCATCCGGAGCATGCGGAGCATCCAAGGCAGCAGAGTAGAGTTTAGGCAACCAGAGAAAGGAATTCATCCTCGTCCCCGAAGGCTCGGTGATTGATTTGTTCCATTGGTTAGGCAAAAAGAAGCAATTCAACTTATACCTTCCTGCATTACCTCTTACTAGCTCTGATGATTTCTTCCCCCTGCATCCCAGGCTTATTTTATTCTCCCCTTGAGACAGGCATCAGCACAAATGCCACCGCTCTAGCTGCCCGGTTGGCTGCAGCACTGGTTCCCCAGCACTTCGTAGGGCGTTGACTGCCTGCCGAACCCAAGCCTGAAGACCTCATCACTAGTTTATTACTTGAACGAAAGTGAATTGCTTCGAGTAAGTATCGATCAGCACCTCCTCGGGACTCGGGCAGCGATTGCTTCCGCTCCCAAGTGTGAGGACCCAATTGTGAAGACACGTTACCTAATACGTCTTCTTCTTGCACGGATCTGAATGGCTTTAAAAGGAAGTGTGAATGAGTGAATCTATAATAGGACGTGGAGGCGGAAGAACTGTGGGGTTGAATGTTGAGGATTACCTTGCTTCCAGATGGCTGTGATTGATTGTGCATTTCGTTAGCTGCATTTACCCTCCACTGGTACCAGTACTACCGATACAGCCAATACCCACAGTGGTTGCTGGGGTTGCATTGTTTTGAAGACTAGTATTTATTCCATTCTTAGAGTGGTATCTTTATTGCACCTCGACCACACCAGCACGTTTCTTTCCAGCTCGTAGCGTGACTTCTTTGGAGCCCTCATCAAAGTCATCCAGCGTCAAAGTTGCCATTTCATCTTCTATCTTGGTTTCTCCTAATCGGGCTCCACCACCTGCAATGAGTCGTCGGGCTTCCTTTTTGCTCGACGCCAGCTTGAGTTCGACGAACAAGTCCAATATTTTTTTGCCACTATCACTGAGATCCGATTCGGACACAAAGACACGAGGGAGTCCTTCGGTCGATGCACCGGATCCTTTGAACATGTTTGCTGTCGTTTCATGAATACTCTTGAGCGAGTCCTTTCCATGCAAGAGCGTTGTGGCTTCATCCGCCAGTACAATCTTGGCCTTGTTAATGTCGGCTCCAGTCAATTGTTCTAATTCGGCAATCTGTTCGAGCGGCAGTTCCGTGAAAAGTTTCATGAATCGAATGACATCGGCATCATCGGTGTTTCGCCAGAACTGCCAATAGTCAAAGGGTGACAGTTTGTCTTGATTCAACCAGACAGCACCTCCTGCCGTCTTTCCCATTTTCTTTCCATCGCTGGTAGTGATGAGTGGAGCTGTCAATGCAAAGAGTTGTGCCGATTCACATCGTCTTCCCAGCTCGGCACCCGAGACCATGTTCCCCCACTGGTCGCTTCCTCCCAGCTGTAGAATGGCTCCATGACGTCGATACAGTTCGACAAAGTCGTATGCCTGAAGAATCATGTAATTGAATTCTAGAAAGGAAAAGGGCGCCTCTCGTTCGAGTCGTTGTTTGACAGATTCGAAACTTAGCATGCGGTTGATGGTGAATTGTGTTCCGTATTCTCGCAGGAATTCCAAGTACTTGAGAGAGGACAACCAATCGTCGTTGTTGACCATGATGGCATCGGAAAAGTCGTCACTATCTTCTTTTTGAAACGTCAGAAACTTTTGAAATACTTTGGAAATGCCCTGGATGTTTCGTTGAATATCTTCTTCGCCCAACATGACTCTGGATTCGTCCTTTCCGGTGGGATCTCCCACCTTGCTGGTTCCACCACCGACCAATACAATGGGTCGATGTCCTGCTTGTTGCAAGTGTCGGAGAATCATGATTTGCAAGAGGGATCCCACGTGCAGAGAATCGGCCGTGGCATCGAATCCGAGATAGGCAGCAATGCTTCCGTCTGTCATTTTTTGATCGAGTTCTATCAGATTGGTGCATTGATGGAAAAAGCCACGGTCGCGCATGACTTGCAAAAAGGGAGATTGGAGCGATGCCAGAGCTTCGGCATTTTCTTGAGCGTACAAGGAGGATGCCGCCGAACTGTTGGGTTGTTCGGTTTCCACGGCGGTAGTGGCCGACAAGAACACTTTTTGGGTGGCAGAAGGAACCGACCAGTTTCTCTTGGTGCTGTGCTTGGATACTACATGTACTGATTTGGCCGTGAAGGAGCTGACGGTTCGGGTCGTCGCCACCAACAAAGCCGCAACAGTCGCAGTTGTCATGATAAACTTCATTGTTCGAAACCGAGTAGGCAAAGAAAGATTAAGAGCAAACTTGAGGGGAATGTACACACCAAAGTGGAACTAGCTACTAGATAGCAAGAGGTAGCTCAGGTAAATGAAATAATGACAAGTGGATGTTCTCGCTGACTGAACTGAAGCAATCAATCAGCACAAAGGAAGCCAAAGAGAGTTGGAGGCAACAACCGCAAAAACAAACGTCAGAAAAATGAGACAATTCCGAGCGAAGGGCAGACGGGTAGACTGAGTCACGTTACGAAGGTCCACGGGATTCGACCTTCGTCATTCTTTCGTCGAACTGATGCCGTTTGAAGGTCCTCCATTTTGTGTTGTTCTCACAATGGGAACAGCGCAAAGACAGAGGAAAACCAACAACTACGATAGACATCGAACTCTTTGCCTGCCATTTTGGATAGCTACCGGCAATTTTCTTAGTTTGCTTTTTGTGTGAAGATAGATAGATCACTTAACTTTTTCAAGAACAAACATGATGAGTTTGCGTCTGCTGCCAATTCGTCGCTCCTTGGGTTCCACGAGGGAACAATGGCAGTCGGCAATGACGATTCCCTATCGATACTTTTCCGTCAAGGAATTGCCGTGGTGTGCTCCCAAGAATTCACCCAATCGAAAGAATACAAACCATCAATCGAGAAAGAAGGATGACAGAACGAACCAAGGACAACCCACCAAAGCTGCTACAACGGCGCATTCCGACTTACCTGAACCCATTGACAAGTTTGGAATTGTGGCGGCCATGTCCCAAAATAGAATTATTGGTCGGAATGGTCAGATACCATGGCCGCGATGTCCACAGGATCGAGAGATTTTCAAGAATCTTACCCGTGACAAGCTACTGATTATTGGTCGTCGGACCTTTCAAGAAGAGCCATTGCTGCGACATATCCACCATGTACGTTGGTGCATTGTGGTGACAGCATCCTCCAAATCCATAACATCTTTGTTCCAGGACAAACAACAATATACTGATGGTAATGAGGATGATCCGCAATACATGTACCATCCTTATGCACCCCAGACGCAATTGCAAGTGGCACCGTCTCTGCCCCATGCATTAGGATTGGCCAGGGAGATACTACTAGAGGAACAACAAACAACAGCAAGTGCAATTGGCAAGATTGACAATCAGCAACGGCCACAAAACACAAACATGGAGGAACTTCACTGCTGGGTAGCTGGAGGAGAAAGACTCTATGAGGAAGGGTTGAAACATCCATCTGCGCAGGAAGTTCACTTGACAACAATGCACCTCACTGTGGATGTGCATAACAATAGCAATCCTGCTGAGAATGGATTGGCTGCGACTAGTGTGAACCAATTGGCCATGTTTCCGGCTAAACATCGCTGGGATAGACCTTTCAAGCAAGTCAAAAAGGAAGAAGGAGGAGGTCCCTCAGACGAAGCTCCAGAATCGCCATACTTTACCTACGAGATCTATAAGCGAATGACATAGCTAGCTAGTGCAATGTTTTGCCACAACAGGATTAAACTCTGGAAGCTGCTGGCTACAGTACCTGGCAGCTGGTTGAATGCTTCGCTCTTGGATCTTGTGATCTGCCACCAGAAATCTACGTCCGTGGTTTGTGTGAGCTCTGTTTCAGCCTGCAGAGCTGTAAACGACGAGATTTTTGCGTGGTTAGGTCAGTTTGATTGTCATTTTTTGACAACTAAATTCTTCGCATCTGAGCGCGTCTTTCAGTCTCGACAGCTGGTGACCCGTCCAAATTGATTTGCTTCGGTCGCATCACTCGTCGTCGACGAACGCAGCAACCACCTCCCCCGCTATTAGCCAGACCACCGTACAGACTGGTATTGCGTTCTATTTATTCTTTGAACACTCCCTCTGGTTGCTTCTACTAATACTCGCATTGGTTACTTGCAATAGCGAAAGCAAGAGATAATACAACGAGAGAGATTAAAGGTCAGTCGAAAGGTGAAGAGACTCTGCTACCATCGACACTACTACTAGTACTACCAGTACTGACAGCACGAGCGAAAAGGCTTCGCATTTACTTGTCCTGTTTGGGCCCGCCAAAAAGATACCTTTTTTCTTCTGTGAATTACTCCGTTGACAATGCTGGGCGCACGAGTGATTTCTGATCAGAATGTGCAGGAGAATGCAGGCGATGAACAGCAGCAACAAACTGCGGAAACGGGCGACAACGCTAACAATTCCCACAACTATGGTAGTCCTTCCCAACCGGCCGCCATGATCGAACCCGACAACGATCCAACCGAATACAGTGACCACGACGCACCGTTGGATTTGATTAGCCCTCCCAATCGCAATGTCTCGGACGACGCATTCACCACCAGTTCTTCACTGAGTGATGCCAGCGAGGGCAACAAGTCTCAGAATCTAGTGGATGTGGACATGGAAGATGTGTTTGCATACGAAGGATCGCCCACACCGCTGGCAGGAGTGGGTTCGGGACCGTATCTGAATCAGCATCCTCCCACGCATTACCAGCAGCACTTGCAGCCCAAACAACAACGATTGCAGCGGATGGATTCCACACCCTCGGATGATTCTGGATCCGGACGAGGGGCCACAACGACCAGCCAGAACTCCAGTCGTGATTGGGGATGGTTTGAAGATGTGCATCAGAGCGGACAATTGACCCCCACTGGCTCTTGACCAACCGAACCACTCGTCGTCACCCAGATGAAAATGGAACAAGAATGCTTCTGGAAAATCCAAGAAGTCAATACCTCACCGCATTGGATTGGATCCCAACAATGGTAAGTGCTTTATCTTCTCACTCTCTAGCTAGATGCAAATCTAGCTAGCTAGCATGGTGGCTAGAAATGGCCATGTTTGCAACTATTTATTCTTACCCATAACGTACTGCTTGCCTTTTTAACACACACACACACAGAAACAGCTGCTGCCGCCATGGCCGTGACAGCCCCAACCTATGTACTCGAAGAATCCCTTTCCTCGCAACGGCTCTGGAAGTATACTGCCGGGAACCGCCCACCACAACCCATGGAAGAACGCATGTTTTACGAAAAGATGTGGGCGCAAAACTTTGCACGATCTCAAGTCAATTACAAATGCCCGTCGATGTGCTCACGGCCACGTCGCCCATTTCCCTCAGCCCCTTTGCTCGAAGGAACCATGGAAATGTCGGCGGCTGCTGCGGCTGATGGAGGCGATTATAACCAGTACACCATCTCTCTCTTTTCCCCCC